TAGGTGTAAAATGAAATTTTAATATTATGCACAATAGCAAAATTATGATTAATAGGAATATTTTAAACATACCGACCTCCGGATGTCGCTTTTATTAAAAGTAATTAGATATAATAAAAAATACCGACCTCATGAGGTCGGTATCACATTAACTTTTAAGATAAATAAAAAGTAATCATGTTAATTAAATAATATTGACATCGGGAGGTCGGTATTTTATATTAAATTATTTTTTAACTTATATAAAACCGTCATTCAGAGGACGATTTATTTAAAGTTAATTGAAAATATTAATTTATTACATACTATTTAATTTTACCGACATCTGGAAGTCGGTATTATAATTTTTTTTGTTTTTTATTTTACACAAAACCGTCCTCCGGAAGATGATTTAAATAAAACTAAATCAAAATATTTCTCAATTTTGTTATTTTTATATGGAGAAATGGAGAAAATCGCGTCTGCTAGTGCATATATTTTTAAAAAAGCGACGGACAACGTCTATATGTCCGTCGCTTTTTAAAAAAAAAGCGACGGACAACGTCTCTATGTCCGTCGCTTTTTAAAAAAAATATTTGACCAACATTTTGACCAAAGAGCGACGGACTAAGAGACACTGTCCGTCGCTTTCTTAAAATATTTGACTAGATATTTTGACCAAGAAGCGACGGATATAAAGATGCTATCCGTCGCTAATTTAAAAAATTAAATTAATAAAAAGCGACGGACGGTGTGGCTTTTTTAAAATTAATAAATAATTATTTTTAATAAAATGCGACGGACTGCGTCATTATCTATATAAATTAATTAATTAGCAAAAATCCGCGAAAAAAAGCGACGGACTAAGCGATGCCGTCCGTCGCTTTTTAATTAAAATATTTTTTAAAAAAAGCGACGGACAGTGTGGCTAATGTCGTCGCTTTTACTTCCGTCGTTTTTTAGCAATTTTCTAGTAGTGGGTGTTGTTATTCTGTGTTCAAAATATTATACAAGAGATGTCAAAGTAAACTAGAAAGTAAAAAATCAGAAAATATTCGAGACCACAAAATTCACTATTGACTCTTTAAGAAAATTTATCCCCCCTCACTATATAAAGGTTATGGATTACTTAGTTTCCTCCCAAGATCAAATAGATATACATGTTAAAGAAGTAGTGGTACCTTAAACTTCAATAACTTTCGTGAACTCAAAAGTTAGCAACTAATCACACGAAGACTCGATATTTGTATTCGTAAGAAAATATATACATAAAAAGAAGTAAATTCGATGCAAAAATTAAGGAAAAACCTCACTATTTATAGACAACGATCTGAATTGAAGAGGTGTAAACTCAACTGTTCAGAACATGTTCATGTTGAAAGGAAATATCTGTTTAGAAGAAACTAGTTCTTTCTGAATATTTTTCGTGAATTTTAAATTAATTTCGCTGATTAATTAATTAATGAAATTATGCAAATTAATATTTATATCATAAAAAGATGATTAATGAGAATGATAAATAATTTTTGTCTACAAAATTATTAGGGAGATCTAAGCTCTTTAATAACTAGAAGGAGTGTTTCTAATTAAATGCACAAAAATTCTCAGTGTTAAACTTGATACCGCCCCTAGTTCCATATCAACCCCTAATCCCTAAACCTTTCAAGAGTCCAAAGAATCTTTTAAGAAATTTTCACAAAGGCAATCTTTTATATGATTCTCAAAAGATTTACTTTAGCTCCATCAAATATTCTTTACGAGGTTAGCACTAGTCCTCATTTGGTGGATGGTATTTCTTATCTTATATTTTATTATATATAATTATATAAGAATAATCCTAGCTAGCTAGCTAATTACACCACTTTAAAATGAATATAATTAAGTCACATGTTAAGTTGTAATGCCATATTTTAAGTTTGGAGATTCAATCAACCCACAAACCCCTAATTGACACATCAACATGCATTCAACATCATGAATACTTATCCCAAGAGTTGTTTCATGCATTTTTTTAACCTTTCAAGATATTGAAGAGTTTTTTTGTAAATTTTTTACAAAGGCAATCTCATCAAATCCTTTGATAGATTAGCACTAATTCTCATTGGGTGGGTGGTTTTCTTTTTAACAAGTATTTTATAAAAACATAATCCTAGTTAGCTAGCTACTTGCACATTAATTTCTTCATAAAGCTATACTACTTTCCTAACACTTCCCTTCCACTGTCCAAATTAGTAAATAAGTATTTTTTCCAAACTATAAATACCCCCCACTAATTACTAAATGTCTCCCATCACCAAAACAAATTAAACTAAACCATCTTTCAAGTAAACAAAACAACCCCAGCAAACAAAAATTCTAATTTTTTTCTCATGGAGAATACTCATGATTTTTCATCTATAAGTTGTGAAATACAAATCATAAGAGCAAGAAACATAGAACAAATAAGTTCATTAGGAAAAAACAACTTGTTTGTTAGATGTTATCTTCCAACAGGAAACAACAACCAAAGAGTTAAGCTAAACACTCAAGAGATCTCATCAAAATCAAACTTGTTTTGGGATGCATCTTTCTCATTGGATTGCATGGGAACACAAGACTCCATTAACATGATGAAGCAAGGAACAGTAGTCTTCGAGCTACGATCAAGAAGATATGTTCCTCTTCTTAGGAAGAATATTGGTGGCTCACAACTCTTGGGGAAAGTTGAAATTCCATGGAAAAGAGTATTTGAGTCAACAAGAATGGAGATGGAGGAGTGGGCAATATTCATGACTACTTCAAAGAATATTAATGAAGATGTGAAACCTCCAGCAGTAAAGATAGCAATGAAGGTTAAAGTAAATGAGACAACAAAAATTAATAAGTTGAGAAGATCATGGGATGAGTCATGTGCTTGCAAGGGTTATTGTGGATGTAATAGTAATAGTATTTTTAGTGCTGATGATTGTGAAGTATTTGCAATTGGAGCTGCTTTAGATGTCCTTTAGTTTAAGGGAAAAAATGGAGAAAGCACTAATTAGGTGTTCCCCTAGATGAGATTAATTTTTTTGAGTGACATTCTTGGATGAATTAGTTAGATTCTTGAATGTTTTGTAGTTTAAATTTCATGGTTTTGATAAAATACAAAGATTTTATGAGAAAAGTTGTTTTCATAAGTTTACTTCAGTTTCCTTAAAGTGAATCTTGACTTCACTTTTTCAATTTCATCAACACAATTGAGGGTTTGTTTGGTACGAAGGAGAATATTTTCAAATAAAATACTTTCCTAGAAAAAGTTTTCTTGAAAAATAAGTTTGTTTCTTACTTTTCTAGTATTTGACAATTGAGCTAAATTTTTTATCTCAAAAGCATTTATACATAATTTAACAAAATATTATATGAGTGGGAGGAGGTGGGGAGTGAGGCATTGGAGTGGCGAAGCTGGGATGATCAAGGGGTAGGGGTGTTGTTAGTATACACTATTGACTCTTTAAGAAAATTTATCCCCCCCCCATCACTATATAAGGTTATGGATTACTTAGCTTCCTCCCATGATCAAATAGATATACATGTTAATGAAGTAGTGGTACCTTAAACTTCAATAACTTCTGTGAACTCAAAAGTCAATAACTAATCACACGAAGACTCAAAATTGTATTCGTAAGAAAATATATACATAAAAAGAAGTAAATTCGATGCAAAAATTAAGGAAAAACCTCACTATTTATAGCCAACGATTGGATTGAAGAGGTGAAAAGTCAACTGTTCAGAACAGGTTCATGTCTGTTGAGAGGAAATACCAGTTTAGAAGAAATAAGTTCTTTCTGAATATTTTTTGTGAATTTTAAATTAATTTCGCAAATTAATTAATAAATGAAATTATGCAAGTTAATATTAATATCATAAAAAAAGATGATTAATGAGAATGATAAATAATTTTTGTCTACAAAATTATTAATGAGATCTAAGCTCTTTTATAACTAGAAGGAGTATTTCTAATTAAATGCACAAAAGTTCTCAGGGTTAAACTTGATACCGCCCTTAGTTCCATATTAACCCCTAAGCCCTATCCAAAGAATCTTTTAAGAAATTTTCACAAAGGCAATCTTTTATATGATTCTCAAAAGATTTACTTTATCACCATCAAATATTCTTTACGAGGTTAGCACTAATCCTCATTTAGTGGATGGTATTTCTTATCTTATAGTTTATTATATATAATTATATAAGAATAATCCTAGCTAGCTAGCTAATTACACCACTTTAAAATGAATATAATTAAGTCACATGTTAAGTTGTAATGCCATATTTTAAGTTTGGAGATTCAATCAACCCACAAACCCCTAATTGACACATCAACATGCATTCAACATCATGAATACTTATCCCAAGAGTTGTTTCATGCATTTTTTTAACCTTTCAAGATATTGAAGAATTTTTTTGTAAATATTTACAAAGGCAATCTCATCAAATCCTTTCATAGATTAGCACTAATTCTCATTGGGTGGGTGGTTTTCTTTTGAACTTGTATTTTATAAAAAACGCAATCCTACTTAGCTAGCTACTTGCACCTTAATTTCTTCATAAAGTAATACCACTTTCCTTCCACTGTCCAAATTAGTAAATAAGCATTTTCCAAACTATAAATACCCCCACTAATTACTAAATGTCTCTCATCACCAAAACAAATGAGTAAATAAGCATTTTTCAAACTATAAATACCCCCCACTAATTACTAAATGTCTTTCGTCACTAAAACAAATTAAACTAAACCATATTTCAAGTAAACAAAACAACCCCATCAAACAAAAATTCTATTTTTTTTTCTCATGGGGAATACTCATGATTTTTCATCTATAAGTTGTGAAATACAAATCATAAGAGCAAGAAATATAGAACAAATAAGTTCATTAGGAAAAAACAACTTGTTTGTTAGATGTTATCTTCCAACAGGAAACAACAACCAAAGAGTTAAGCTAAACACTCAAGAGATCTCATCAAACTCAAACTTGTTTTAGGATGAATCTTTCTCATTGGATTAAATGGGAACTCAAGACTCCATTAACATGATGAAGCAAGGAACAATCATTTTTGAGCTACGATCAAGAAGATATATTCCACTTCTTAGGAAGAATATTGGTGGCTCACAACTCTTGGGGAAAGTTGAAATTCCATGGAAAAGAGTATTTGAGTCAACAAGAATGGAGATAGAGGAGTGGGCAATATTCATGACTACTTCAAAGAATATTAATGAAGATGTGAAACCTCCAGCAGTGAAGATAGCAATGAAGGTTAAAGTAAATGAGATAACAAAAATTAATAAGTTGAGAAGATCATGGGATGAGTCATGTGGTTGCAAGGGTTATTGTGGGTGCAATAGTAGTATTTTTAGTCATGATGATTATGAAATATTTGCACTTGGAGCTGCTTTAGATGTCCTTTAATTTAAGGCCAAAATGGGCAAAGTACTAAGGTGTCCCTCCTAGATTAGACTAATTCTTGAATGAATTAATTACAATTCTTCTATGTTTTGTAGTTTTGAGAAATTAAATTTCATGGTTTTGATAGAATACAAAGATTTTTATATTTTCAGACAATTTGTATTCATGATTGTACTTCATTTCCCTTAGTGTGAATCTTTACTTCTCCTATTCAATTTCAGCAACAAACTTAATGATAAGCAACAAATCCAAGAAAAAGAGTACTTTGGGAAGGCAGTTGTCACGATCCAAAAGTCGAGATTATGATGGAACACACTTTAAGAATTTAATTTGGTGTGTAAGCCGAAAGACATAACACATATGAGAGTTTCAAAGAAAAGTCAGGCCACAACCGAAAGAAATGAAACTCAACAAGGAAATTCCCAAAACTTGGTGTCTTATTTTCTAAAAATAGTATTTCTTCACTTTAATTCTCATATACCATTACCATGATATGTTGAATAAGGATGAATGCATCACAATATATACAACACAAGTTGATGTGAGGTCAAAAATATATATTTTTAATCATTATTTGTCTCACATTTATTATTTATATCTGTCCTTTTTGAGCATTAATTTTATGGATTGTGCTAAATAGTGTATTTTATTTGTAAGAGTAAATTGACGTAAAGTTGAAGAAGTTTGAAGCTAAAACGAATTAAAGATGTAAGATTATACAAGAAAATCAAGCAGACAGTTTAATGGATTAAATTAAATATAATAATATATAAAATTATATGCTGCAAAGTGCACATTCAATTGGAAACTTGAAAGGAGAATATTGTTGCCAACCACCTGGCAGATTCTAAAGGCAGTGGTCAATTGAGGAGCTGCCCACAATCCTGAAGGCGGCGGACAGAACACGTACAACAATTTCAACTCAGTTTTGGTTTTGGTTTCCTCGTTTGTTTTGGTCCCAATTAATTTATTTAGGATTTTCTACATTTATAAATAGTCCATAAAAATAATTATTGGACAATCAATATAGAGTAAGGAGGACCATTAGGAGATCAATTAGGAGGTACTTTGCAAGAAAAATTGTCAATACTTTTTAGGGTTCTTTTCTTTTTCTTTCTTTTCCTAGAAATTAGTGGCTAAACGCTCTTGTTTTGGGCTGTAGCTACGAATCGAATGTTGAATATTTAAGGTTTGTGAATTAATTCTTGGTTTTCATTATAAGTTACTTCTACATTCTTGTTTTAGTATTTTATGCTTGCGCACCATAAGATAAATCTATTGTCTAATCTTAAAATCGAGAGAGGAGAGGTTAGATAGACCAGAGAATATAGAGAGCTCGGTCCACCCATTAGATTGAGGTGATTAGTGTTCAGGAGTGACGCCCAGACGAACACCTTGCTTGGTTACGAAATAGGATGAAAAATAAATGCTCGCCAGTTAGTCTATTTATCCCCGCTCAACGATGTAGTTACATAGCTAACTGGGATAGGCAACGAGAGACGTATAACCCGGATCATATTATCAACCCTATAAACCAGTAACTTGACAACTGAAATTAATTCTAAGCCAATAATATGATACATGATATTTAGTATATGCTACAACCCTGGAATTTCTTTTAACTTGCTTGAAACATTATATCAAAGTCATTCACAATTAGTTACTTTCATTTAGTGCATAATTATTAGTAGATAAACAATAAATCATCAACTCTTGAAAAGGTTACTTTTACTTTTAGTTGTAGAATTAAGTGAATATAAGTTGATCATAAGTCCCTTTGGGAACGATAACTCGTTTCTTTAATAATCTATATTACTTGCGCAACCACGTACACTTGCGTGTATATTGGGGAGCAACA